ACTGATAGGGAAAACAACTTCCCACAACTAGTTTCTTCCATCTTTCACCTGATAATATTTTAAATATGTGAAAATAGTTACGAATGACCTTACTTTTCTGTCAAAGTAATATCAAAAATTTTCCAGCCTGGCATGGTGCCTCACGCCTGTAATCCTAGCACTTTGGGAGGCTGAGGCGGGCAGATCACCCAAAGTCAGGAGTTCCAGACCAGCCTGGCCAACATAGTAAAATCCCATCTCTACTAAAAATGCTAAAAATTAGCTGGGTGTGGTGGCGGGTGCCTGTAATCCCAGCTACTCCGGAGGGTGAGGCAGGAGAATTGCTTGAACCCAGGAGGGGGAGGTTGCAGTGAGCTGAGATCACACCACCACACTCCAGCCTGGGCAACTGAGTGAGACTCCATCTCAGGAAAAAAAAAAAAAAAAAAATTCCAAATAGTCCTCAAAGATCATAGGTACCAGATCCATCCCCACAGATACATAGCAATTCCTCAAGAGCCCACTTAAACTATTAAAAAACTGAAGTCATGATTCTGGATATGGGATTCCTGGGCAAACAGAGGATGGGAGGAATCTTATTAATAAGATTCAGGCTGAGCATTGCATGGGAGCACTCATCGCGTATGAGCCTGCTCTCACCCAAACTCCCAAGTTCTCTGCCTGTATACTATGAACTCAGAACTTCCTGTCATCATATACGTTGAAATTATTTTTACTCTGAGAAAAATTTTACATTAATTTTGATTATATTCATTTGTTTGGCCTATCATGAGAATTTGAGATCCTGAATCCATCATCCAATATTATTTTCACTCTTTCAACTAGAATCATTATTATGCCCTAATTGAAGATAGGAATAAAAATTTTTGATTCAGAAACACCATTTCTGAATAGTACTTACAAATACCCATCTCATAACAATATTAAACAGAAACAAAATGGATCCAAACTCACATATGTCTTGTGAAACTTTATTAGTTCTTTGTGAAAATACATTTCCTAAGTTACTTATGATGAATATGCTGCAGTATCTGCTCTGTATATCATCAAGTCAATTCATGGTTTTGGACAGCTAGCTTCTTTTCCTGTTGTGTGAACAATCACACTAGATATGAGTTTCCCTCTAGGGTTCTTCCTTTCCATAATGTCTCACCAAGAACACGGCCAGTAACTCAGCAGTGTGATTTTTAGTCCCCTCAGCTGGTTCAGATGAAATTCTCCTGGGCAGGAGACACAACTTCATTGAGAACTCTGAAGTTCTCTTTTATAAGCTTCTTATCTTTGGAGGGTGCCAGTTTCTGATTTTAAAAATGTCTGCCTATAATCCCAGCACTTTGGGAGTCTAAGGTGGGAGGATTGCTTGACCCTAGGAGTTCCAGACCAGCCTGGGCAATTTAGGAAGACCCAGCTTCTGAATGAAAAAACAAAACAAAACAAAAAAAAACCTGAATAATCATCCATTTTCATACCAGCTTCAAGAATGAATTTGGTTCTTGTTTTAAGCATAATTGAGGCAGCCTTCTTGGGGTTCCTAACACTTCACATCATTTCCAACTTGTGATGGATTTGTTTCTCAAGACACTCTCTTTAAAAATGCATTTCATTCTCTTCAATATGTCCTGCGACAGTTGTTTTGCTTGAAAATTGAATTTCTTGTAGAAAATCTGGTGTAGCTGTTTCTGTTTCTTTGGGTAATTTCCCATTTTTTCCCGATTGGGTGATTTGTTGTTGTTGTTGTTGTTTTTCTTTTTTTCTTTTTTGAGAGACGGGTCTTGCTCTGTCGCCCAGGCTGGAGTGCAGTGGCACGATCTTGGCTCACTGCAAGCTCCACCTCCTGGGTTCACACCATTCTCCTGCCTCAGCCTCCCAAGTAGCTGGGACTACAGGCGCCGCCACCATGCCCGGCTAATTTTTTGTATTTTTAGTAGAGACGGGGTTTCACCATGTTAGCCAGGATAGTCTTGATCTCCTGACCTTGTGATCCGCCCGCCTCGGCCTCCCAAAGTGCTGGGATTACAGGCGTGAGCCATAGGGCCAGGCCTGGTTTTTTATAGTTATAGTTTTGGGGGATGTTTTGTTTTGTCAAGGGGTCATCTTTTTTAGTGTTAAAGTCATGATTATATAGATTGTTTTCAGAATTTAAAGAAATATATCCTTACCAACTGCCTTTGTAGTACCAGTCACTTCCCTACTACAACTATCGTTTACGCCGGCATGGGGTTTACTCCAGATGAACCTGAAGGTTACTCAAGGACATTTAGCTTGGTGGAAACCCAGAGTGATTTTCAAAAGGGCCATAGTCATGGAAACAGGGAAAGGGTTAATTCAATAACAAGTTAAGAGATGGAAGAAAAGCAATAGCAAGACTGATAGGCGAGAGCGCATCAGCATCCTGGCAGTACAGGATGAAGGACACAATTAACCAGGCAGAACTAAGGCACAAAGACCCTTGCACCTGCCCCTTGCATGCACTTCCAGATGGGACTAATCCAGGTTGCAGAGCTCATTTCGCTTCCAGTTAACACAACACACTCTTCCTTATTGGTCTAGATTAGCATGATAGTATTCTCGGTTTTACCATGTTGGGCAAATTCTTCACTTCTCTATGCTTTCTTTCTTATCTGCATGTCAAAGGAATAAGTACTTACTGTATGTTCTAATCAGATAAATCTCACAAATGCCATGTGCATTTTAACTCATCAATAAATATCATCATTTATAATCATTGTCTCCAAATATGGCACCTAGTTGATATTTGGATTATGGAGGTATCCAGTTGCTACTCTATTAAATATTTGTGTACATTTAGGATTGCAGCCTCTGTTCCCTTCATCTATCCTAGAGTCATATAATCTACTCAAGCAGTATCATCTCTGTTCTCCTATCTTTTTACTCACTCATCCCAATTTTCCTCTGAGTCTCACATACAACTTTATGGTTTCTTGTGGACATACATTTTTGCCGAGTTCCACATGCTGTCACCCCCCTACAAAAGATGTCTTTGGTAAAGGGATGTGCTTCATTACCATGCTTCACACATTATGAATCTCAACCCTTCCAGTTAGTGGTAGCTGCAAAACTATATTTATTAACTTTCAAAATGTTTGTGCTAAACGAATTACCCATGGTTTATCCATTAGTATTTACACATTTATGTGTCATTTCTAATCTTTTTTGTATTTTTTCCCTTTAACTACTCTATATCTCTTCCAATTTTATTATTCCTTATATGCTGTATCAACTATCTACAACACAAATGTTTTATACATTATAACCTGGGCATTTCTCTTCTTCCTTATTTTCCTCTGAGCAAATAGACTCATTTATAAGCAAATCATCTTTCAAAAGCTTCTAAAATGTATTGCATAGCACTGAGGCATGTTTGGGGGCATCTCCAGGCAGCCAGCTATTCAACATGTATCCCATCCTTTCTACTCCAAAGCCTTAACTTTCAGACAGAGGAATAACACAAGATAGATAAAGGCTTATCAGGGATCAATAAGCCCCAAGCTGACCCATCATTTAACAGTTATGTAAACCGAATGTGTCACTTAAACTCCCAAAGCAACAATGAAGGCCTTTCCTGCATCCTGAAGTGGTAATGACCAAAATGATGAGATTAGGGATGTTTGTAAGCAGTAGAGCAGCAATCAAGTGTAAGTTGCTATTAATTTTCATGTTTACAATTACTAACAGAGATGTGGTACATACTGTTAGACATAAGTGTCTTGGACCACCTAGTTCCCTCCTGGTAGGACTTGATTCCTCGAGAGGACCAAGCTCCAGACAGAAGAGCTAGTCCACACCAAAGCTGCCTAAAGGAGAGTGCTGTTCCATAGCCAGCCAATTTCAGAAGGATATTTAGGAATGCATGGAAACTCCCAGAAGGACTTGTGACTCTCTACATGAAGAAGCATACATAGTCGAAGGAAATGTCATCGTCTACTGAAAACTGTAATGAGGACATCCAACGACAGACACATCTACACACACTCATATATATAACTGTGTTCAATAATATATAATGCACAAAATATATTCAATAATACACTAGAGAGAGCGAGAAAGAGTGAAGAAACCAAGCGGCATTCATGTAAGTCCTGCAGTAATTTTAAATAAGTAGCTAATGTTTCACAGACAAGTGTGACAACCTCTTTTTGGTGGCTGGTTTTTCTCTAGGGTCACTACCTTCCTTTCATCCTGTTTCTTCAGATTCTCCCAAATGAAAAGAAGAACAGGTTTTGCTATTTGAAGTTTACTGGGCCTGGCTTAGTTCCTGAAGTGATCCTAGCCTATGAGATTCAGAAGCTTAAAGCTTCCAGTTTCTATGGCTTCGAGTGGTTAAAAAAAAAAAAAAAAGAAGAAGAAGAACATGGAGAAGGTTCAGAAGAACCAAAGGCAGGTAAGGTATTTTACAAATGACCAGGAGACCTACTAAGATCACTCTTTAGTAACAGTGGTGCTTTAAACAGCTTATTCAAGATTTTTCATACATTTATTCAAAGCATCTTCCAGTGGAAACATTTTTCAATCCATTTTTTAAAATTATGCAGAATATTTTAAGTTATAAAAAAAGAAGATCAAATTATTGTAGACATGGAACACTTTAAATAATTCACTGTACTTATGTCAATTTGGATGAATATAACTTCAATTCATTGACATAATTAAAGAATTTTTAAAATCATAAAATGTACAATATTTTTGAAATTCATTTTTGTGTGTCCTAAAATCATCATGGCATTTGAGTGTAGGTATATTCTCAGCACTCTTGTAAGATTGCCTCTGTGGCACGTAAGACAATATATTTCATTTATTGCTCGGATTAAAAACAAATCCCTGTAGATACCCAAAGAAAAAAATTACTTTTGGAAGTGCAGCATTTCGACCCTAGGTAGGATTTAAGGCATTATAGCAAGAAGTCATATGTGTTACACAGCTGTAATCTATTTCTAAGGTTTATTCGAATTAAGTAAGTGCCAGAACATAGATGAATTTACCCAGACATCGAGTTTCGGTGCCACTCCAGAGCCCATTTGCCAAGCACTCTCTGACATGAGATCCCACAAGTGTGTAGCCAGTGTTGCACGTAAATATAGCTGTGGCCCCATAAACTGTCAGCGTTCCAATCTTGTTGCCATTTGGGGGAAAGGAAAGACTTCCACACGAGATAACTAGAAGGAAAAAAACAATAAAGTGAACCTCAATTCGGTTATGCAGATTCCTCCTGTGCAAAACAAAAACAAACAAAAACCACTATTTTTAGTCTTAATTTTCACTAAGAACATGGTGGAGAGGTGTCTGCTTAGGGCTGGATAGACCAGTCACCGAAGAACCTTAATTTTCCATCTTCATACTCCTGAAACAAAAACCTAAAAGCTCAAAGTGGATTCCAAAACATTCTAGATTCTTCAATTACCCATTCATTGTTGTTGTTGCTGTTGAGATGGAGTCTTACTCTGTTGACCAGGTTGGAGTGCAGTGGTGCTATCCTGGCTCACTGCTACCTCTGCCTCCCAGGTTCAAGTGATTCTCCTGCCTCAGCCTCCTGAGTAGCTGCGACTACAGGCGCCCGCCACCATGCCTGGCTAATTTTTGTATTTTTAGTAGAGATAGTGTTTTCCCATGTTGGCCAGACTGATCTCAAACTCCTGACCTCAAGTGATCTGCCCACCCCGGCCACCCAAAGTGCTGGGATTACAGGCATGAGCCACTGTGCCTCAACCCATTAATGCTTTTATTTTCATCCTGATAGGTATAGCTGAACCCTTCTTGAAAAAATACACAGTATACAAAGTGTAAATGCAGAAGTGTATTTATCAGTCTATCTCTCTACCTTTCTGTCCATATCAATCCCAAGAATTACATAGTAGTAATTACTAGAAGCCTCATGAGCCTATCAGGAAATAAGGAATACCAATTTTCTTTACCAAAGCCAACCAGCTGGGATAAAGTAGTGTGATATTCAAATCTAGGACTTCTGACTGCAATAGCAGTGCCTAGTTTGTTCTTTTAGTTACTTGCATAATTTGTGGGGATCATGAGCTCTGTAAGAATGCTGACTACAAAGGGCATTTGGTGCCTTTCCATAAATTAAAATGTGCATACAAACTAGGCCTTAAGTGGGCATCGATGTGGTGACCCTATGCCCCATGTTTACACCTGCTGTCCCAGCACAGATATTGATCGTGTCCTTTTTCACCCATGAAAGTACTCCAGTTTGGGAAATAAGTTAATGGTCACCCTTATTATACAGTCTTACTATACCACTGAAATCTCGGCTCTTCAGATCCATAAACACTTGAGCACAGAAGATCCCAGCATCTCAGGGGAGGGAGGAACTCACAAGGTTATCCAGCCCAACCTATCATCAGAGGTGGAATACATTTTAAACAGGTAAGAATGAAAGTGTTCGAAAAGCTATTCAAAGCAAGTGTTAAGAGTGCAACGTGAGCACTGATGTGTAGGTGCTTCGCTGCGGCCTGCAGTGGCAAACGTTGAGTCCTTCCTTATTCACAGTAAACCATAAGAAGCAGTAAAACACAGTGAGGAAGAACACAGATTCTGGCTGCAGGCTACCCAGGGTCAGGCCTGGTTCTGCCAGACATGAGCCAGGCAGCACTGGCCAATTTTCTAAGTCTCTGGGCCCTGTTATGGGTTGATACAGCTCCTATTGCACAGGCTTGTGCATTAGATTCAAACAGAAGCCATCCCTTGCACATAAGCAGGCTCGATCAGGGTTAACAATGAAATTATAAATCAGGACATATTCAGTCAATTGAATCAAAAGTAGAAAAACCTTTAGAGATAATTCAAGTGAGGAAAATAAAATCACGCATGTACCACTAAGACCAGCCCTTTTTTTGTTGTTAATGGAGAGAGTTTTGCTCTGTTGCTCAGGCTAGGGTGCAGGTACAGCTGTAGCCCCAGCAGCAGCCCTGACCTCCTGGGTTCAAGAGATCCTTCTGCTCAGCCTCCCAAGTAGCTTGGGGCATGGGCACCACCACGCTCAGCCATTAAAAAAAAATTTTTTGTAGAGGTGAGGGTCTCACTGTGTTCTCCTGGCTTGTCTGGAACTCCTGGGCTCAAGTGACCCCTCCCACCTGGGCCTTCCCAAAAGCCCCAGACCTTTTAATGATATGATAGCACAACCCAGGCTCTATTGCAAATGTTCAGACAGACACAGCCAGAGTCAGTGTTTTCTATGGGGGGCTCTACCAGAAATTGGGAGGTCCAGCTCGAGAGTCCATCACGACCAGCACATTACTGTTACTGAGACAGCCTCCATGGTTGATATGGTTTATTGGTTTTGGTGATTGCTAAACTATTACAGTGTCATACCGCATGCATTTAGTAATATGCTAATATGTTTGCTCCACCAAATGTCAATGAATTCTAGTAGGATTTAGATTTTTACAATTTGTTATGAACTTTTCATTAAGCCTTTTCCCAAACAGTGTGAACTTCTCCTTGAACTATGATATTTAAAGATCCATTTTTAGCAACTTAAGATAATTGGATCTTGTCTTGAAACTTTCATGCTTGTCAGAAAAACGTTAAATAACAATGAGGTCTGAGTCGAATTCCTCTTGGAGGTTTCTGCACACCTTCGCCTTCCATGGTAGAGCAGCAAGAACACCTCCCTCTGCTCGTACAGCTGTTTCTATTCTTGAAGCCTCTGTTAAAAACACTCTGGTGACAAAACTATTTTAAGTGTGTCCTCTAACAAGATTTACTCAATTGTAAAGAAGAAGTAATGAAGCAAAATTTTAGCTTTTCAGTAGCTAAACAATAGAATTTCAGACCAAGGGTTTCCTTGTATGGTAGTAAACTCAATGCATTAATACAGATAGCAGCAATAACTCAGAAATCTTGCCTGATTGAAAGGGGGAAGCCCCTCACTACTAAAAACAGGCTTTGTCATACACCGAAAGGAAAGCCTTATTTTTATGTTGTTTTTCCTCTCAAGTTTCTAAAAATGAATTTCTTAAGTCTGCCTTTTTTTTCATTTCATTAAAAGTGTGTCCATGTTCACAGTCTGCAGGGCTTCCTCTGAACTCTGGGAGCAAGTCTTCGCACACAAAAGACACTTGCCTGACAGCATCCCAAATGCACCTGCAATCCCACAACATCCTGAATGCACCTGTAATCCCACATCCACGGCATGTTTTCTCACTGTCCCTGGGGATTCCAAGCCACTTGCCTGTTCCCACAGGAAAGTCCCTTGTTTGTCTTTCCTTCAATTCTATTATTATATTCATGTTGAAATATATCTACTTAAAAAAAGTTGTATTGTGACATGCCAGTTCTCATACCTATAAGGACAGCACTCCTATCAGAAATGTGAATATTATTTATGAGTGTGATAAATAAACATAAACTCAAGAGTAGGTCTTTTCAAATACATTCTAGCTGAAAAAAAAAAAAAGCCAAATGAACACTGAGACCTCCACGAAGAATAAACAGCTGGGAATATGTGAGCAGGAAGGGGCTCTTTTCTATGAATAAAAGGCTCAGTGGACTCACAATGGTTGTTTGCAAATACACGAAGGCACTCTGTGTAGACCAGAGTCAGGAATTGTTTTATTAGGCCTAGAGGGATAGAGTCACCATCAGTCACTGGATATAAGTCACATAGGAAGCCTCGCTCAAAGTGAAAATGTTCAAACATGAAATCAGCTGTCTCTGGGGCAAAGAGCTGTCACGAGAATTATCTGATGTTAGCTGGGCATTTACTGGTGAGAATAGTATCAAGAAAATTCATCTGTAGGTAGTCCTGAGTGATGTCCGATGTCCACTCCAGCAATGGATCGAAATGACAATGTCGACTCTGTGATTTCCTCGGATATAGATGAAATATATCTGCTGATAAACACAGGCTCCCATAAGTTTAATGATCAATCCAGGCCTGTCTCTAGTAACGAACAGGAGATCTTCAAAGACCAGCCCAGAGACAAAGACAGCCCAGAATTTAGGCCGTGGTCTTTGAATATCTACAATATTACAAAATTCCAGTGTAGCTCACTGAGTCAGTATGTGTGTATAAAATTAAAATGCAAAAATAAGTTTTTGTGATTCATGGATTTCTGTGATACATGTTTTTCTTTTTAGATATGTACAATAAATCAAACAATAAATAAACGTAATAAGAAAAGGAGCCTTCCGCTTGTATAAAGACATTGTGCTAGGAAGGTGTGTAGGCACCTCTAGATATTACATTTTAATTTTCTATTATTGTTTCTTGAAGGACAGGACTGCAGAGCTCACTGTTTAAGGGTGAGATTATGGTCTCTGTCCATTCACTTGTGGAGACCTGGGTTTTTCTCTAGGGACATATTAGACTACCCTGGAGTTAGAATAACACAAACCCTTCAAAAAGCGGTGAATTTCTCAGCTGATTCCACAGTTGTTATGAATGTGATTAGAAGGTGATCAAGGCTCACCTCTTCATCTGGAGCTACCTGGACAAGCAGACAGGGAAATTCTAACATTTCCAGCTCCTAAGCAAATAAGTGACTGAAAACAAGTAAGTTCTGGGAGATCTTACACCAGGGCCACTCGAAGATGAACCCTGGGGAGTCAAAAAAATAAATAAATAAACAAAAAGGGAAAATGCCTGCTTCTTAGCTGCAGCAATGACTTGGGTGATGCTACCCTTGAAGATTCTGTTGGTCCTGATCTAATACAACGCAGAGGGTGACACTGTGTTTCTTCTGTGAAGAAGCTACCATGGTGTGGAAAATTGGCCTTACAAAAATGTGTCATAGTCATTACTTTTAATTAAGAAATTAAATTACGTTTTAATTTCCTGGGGTTTACCACACACTTATTTAATAGTAAATTATACTATTACCAGGATTCATGGTGTGGTGTGTGTGTGCTGGCAAAGTAGGAAACATGACAGATAAATGTAATTTAAGCATAGCATGAAATTAAAATGTGTTACAGCAAAAAGGAAGTAATGTGTTTATTGATTTGTTTTTCTTACAGATCTCAGAAAATAATGTTTACATTTTAACTTTTTTTTCGGGGGGGTGCGGGGCAGGGACAGAGTATTGCTCTGTCACCCAGGCTAGATTGCAGTGGTGTGACCTCAGCTCATTGCAACCACCACCTCCCGGGTTCAAGCAATTCTCCCGCCACGGCCTCCCAAGTAGCTGGGATTACAGGTGCACGCCACCACACCGGGCTAATTTTTGTATTTTTCAGTAGAGACAGGGTTTCACCCTGTTGGCCAGGCTTGTCTCAAACTCCTGACCTCAGGTAATCCACTCGCCTTGGCCTCCAAAATTGTTGGGCGTGAGTGAGCCACCATGCCTAGCCTACATTTTAAGTTTTAAAAAATTGTGTTTTTCACTTTCTTTTGGGGGAGCAAAGTTTTAAAGGTGGTGTAATTCTCACTACTATATTGCCTGTGTTTTCTCTGATATTATTAAGTGACTTTCAAGAGAGTAGACGGTTACCATATCGAGGAACTCAATATTTGTCCCAAGTAAATAAAATCAATAATATTGAATATTGCACTAAAGCTGGTTGTGAACAATACATAGATAATGACACTAATACTCATGAAAATCTGTGTTGGAGGGAAACATGAGACAACTGCTGTTTGTACTGTTCTCTCCACTGCTTTGTGTACTGCCTGCCTGTGCCTTAGGTACACATGCCCTAAAACCGTGTATTTTGTGGTGTTATTCTGAAACAGCTCTTCTAAAAATAAGATCCAAGAACTCCCGGACATCTCTGATATTATTTTAGTGGTCAACAAGCATCCCCCTTTCCAATGACTACAGTAGCAACCATCAATATATTTTATTTTACAGATCTCCACCAAAACAACAAATTTTGACAAAGTTAGTGCAAAAGGTGCTATGAGAATCCAGCCATCCTCTATTAAGCCACACATTAAGGAGCTTTGAAAACTTTTAAAACGATGACACTCTTCACATTAATTTTTGCTTTGTTTGAAAATGAATCCTTATTCATAAAAATGTGTTATATAAGCATGTAATTGACATGTTATTTTAAATACACATGTAAAATTATATCCGTTTTAGTATAAATAAATTCACAAATGAATATTTTAAAATAATAGTAGTTTTTAATGTATGATATAGTTATAAAAAGGTCTTTGGGGTCTAGTGGTAGGCAGAATTCAAAGGTGGTCCCTCCGTGTCCCACCCCTGAGTCAAGACATCTCCTCAGATCCTCTCCCATTGAGTGAGGGCAGAACCCTGAGTAGGTTAGGAATCAGCTGACTTTGAGTTAATAGAAAATGAGATGCTCTGGATGGGAACAGCCTGGTGAGGGGAGCCCTTATCAGGGACTAAGTCCTTCCTGAAGTCAGAGAGATTGGACTTAGGAGAGGGCCTGGTGGGGTGGGGGACGCAGGGCCAGGAGCTTAGTACTTCCCCATGATCAGCAGCAATAACATAAGGCCCTCAGCCACGTGCCACAGGACATGGACTCTGACCAGGAGCCAGACTTGGGAAGCTGATCTGAACCTCACTGGACCCCACTGGACCCCACTGGGCCTCACTGGACCTCACTGGACTTCACTGGACCTCACTGGACCCCACTGGGCCTCACTGGACCCCACTGGGCCTCACTGGACTTCACCGGACCTCACTGGACCCCACTGGGCCTCACTGGACTTCACCGGACCTCACTGGACCCCACTGGGCCTCACTGGGCCTCCATCCCTGTCAACACCTGAACGCAGTCCTGTGAGACCGTGAGTGGAGGATCTGGCCAAAATGTGCCAGGTATCTGAGCCCAGAAGCTGGGCTGTAGCCAATCTGTGCTATCGTGAGGCCCTTACCATATGGTAACTGGTTACACAGCAATCAATAACTAACACAGGTCCTCAAATTTTAAAAATAAAAATTGTATGAAAACCCCCGAGAACAGTTGCTTTCAAAGAGGCTGGGCTATCCCTTCCATAGAGGGTCTGCTGAATGGCCTTGGTAAAGGGGTTTCTAGACTTCTGTACTCTGATGTCATTTCCAAAACATTGAGGCAAGAGAGATGAAGAGGAGAAAGGGGCCACTAAGGCTTGTAAAGTTTTAACCAGCATCCCAATTTAAACCAAAAGTCATATACTACGGCATCTAAGACAGCACACTTATGCTCCAAAAAGAGAAAAAAAGATTGACAAGCCCTGTATTAGTATAATTTTTTTTTAAAAAAGTCAGTAGACATAAGAATAAATTGACAATATCAATATCAAGCCTTTTGGGAGGAAAAAAATAAAGACAAGCAGAAAAGTTCAGCTTGGTCACAGAAGTAACGATAAACTCCATGTCAACTTTTCCCAGCTCACCGACCCTGTGCACGGCACACTGCCTTCCCTGGTGTGGATCTGGTTCTCTGATACCACTCTCCACCAGAAGATACCAGGGCGTTTTGGAGAACAAAGCGTTTGGGTGAGAAAAATTCCAGATAACCACAGAACATCCTGTTTTCATGAGAAAATAAGGACCATTTCAGAGACGTTAAAGCTGCGTGAAAGGGACTCCCTCGGCCAAAGTGTCACAACCTGAGCTACAAACATTAATAACATCGTTTTTTTTAAAGTCAGCAATGATTTCAGCTGGAATCCGGTGACTCTGGAAAATGCCACAAAACCATGATGACATTCAAGAGACAAACAGCAAAGTGTGATAGAACAGTTCGTGCCCAGCCCGCGAGTCAGCAAGCAGCTGACAATTTTCAAAACAAATGTGTGGCCCGAGACAACCAGACATGTGACGATAAATGATGGGTGGAGGTTGCGTCTGGACCACACTCCATGTCAGAAGCACCAGAATACAGTCGAGAAAACTAGAGGCAGGAAAACAGACTTCCCAGAATTTCAGAGGCTGGAGGCAGAAACACTTCAAGGACAGCAGAACTCCAACTTTGCTTTCTTTCCCCAAATGAGGTCAATGCCTTGCTACTAACGAGTGTAGTTTAGGAATGAGGTTTTTCTTAACATTCCCTTAAATAGAAGGCTCTCCAATGTATGTGAAAATTCTTCTCGAAGGCTGATTGAGCTGTGAGCACAGAAGATTGTCACACAGCAAATACTATTTGGCATGACCCTGCTCTGGGTAGACAGGGATACCGTAGCTGGGCATCCCTGGGAAACTGGGGAGACAAGAAAAGGCCGTACTGGGCTGTTGCAGCTGCAGAAGCCCCGTGTGAAACCCCACCTCTAAGAAGTTAATAAGTGTCTGTTTTTAAGATCCCATTTCTGGTTTGAAATCGACAAAATGATGTTGGCGGGAAGAGTCTAAAGTAGGCAAAAGTTTAGTGTTCCTGACTCCTCCTAATCTCTCCTTACTGGTGCTAATGTCGGAATCTCCAGGTGATAAATTGACTTCTAAGGATGAATACATCTGTGCATGACTGGCAAGAATGTGGGGAAGGGCAGCATTTCCTAAGTGGCAAAGGTGTGATAAAGAGGAACGGCCCCGCAAACTCAGTGACCAGGTCATTAACCATCCAAACCAGGACACTGTTCAGAGTGACAAGCAATCATTAATAAACACCTGGAAAACAGGCTTCAGGCAGGGCTATCTTGGAGAAACAGGGACCATGTTCATTACGATTATGAAAACTTTGAGCTCCTTGAGGCCAGCAATCCTTCCTGATTTATCTTTGTGTACCTGGCGAAGAGCTTGTGATATGTGTTTCATTAAAGTTTGCTCTATTAAAAGTTGAATTAAAATTATTACCAAAGACAGTTAAACATTCAAGCTTTTGTCTTTTTCATTTTTTATTCTGATGTAGTCTTACTAAGCTGTGTATTTTATAAATTATAAACTACTTGTTTTTATGCGTGATAATTTTCTGTGAACAATCAAGTAAAGACTGTATATTAGATATGTCTGAATCAAAGAGTGCTCTGAACAGTACTAGCATTGTTTTATTTTTCTATTTATCTGTATTTAATGTGAAACTCACTCAAAGCTTTAACTGCTTATCTTGTACCTAAGAGAATAATCATCTCCCTTTTGAAGACAGTCATTATTTGCGAACACAGTATCTTCAGCATTAATACTATTTCCCAAGATCTTAATTAGAACTCTTGAATAGCCTGTCTGGCATAAGAGTTATCTTTTTACACATAGGTTTGTACTTGTCTTTGAGCTGATTTGAAATACAGTTGGAAAAATACAATCATTAACAAGGAAAAGACAACATCAAATGTCTAATCCAGCAGCAATGTGGTTTAAGCATGTCACATGACAATATGTATGTCGTTGTAAGTATGTCACATTGTAATGAAAAGACAGGCCATTTGTGCTTTTGATCTACAGGACTATGACAGATGATAGCTTCACTAGAGAAGCTCAGCGTTGACAGCAGCCATCCAGAATAATCCAGGATGCCGTGTCTCTCGGGGGTGCATCCCTCATCACTTACCTCGACAGCCTGGCCTCTCGTCTCCTATGTTCCACGTCCCATTGGCCTGGCACTGCGCGAGCCTCCGGCCCTCTAAGTAGTAACCAGGACTGCAGCTCAGCAATACTTGAGCGCCATACTCATTCAAGGATCCTGAAACCAGCCTCCAGATGACATGTTCTGAGAGCTGAGTTTCAATGCTGGGGCAAGGGACCGCTGGAACAGAAAGATACATCATATCATCATTTTTCTTTTTTGGAAAAGATCAGACCGTGCCTGCTTTGAATGGCAAGGTCTTCCTCTATGAAACTGATCTTGCTGGGCAAAGTCGATGCCATTACGTATTATCTCAGCGTTTCTCTACCACCCACATAGTCCATCTGGGAATGATCCCTTATGTAAAATGCATTCAATTGCCTCATTACAGATGTCCTGGCAAGTGTGAGGCCAGACTGAACTGTAAAGGGGGTAAATCACTTCCACTGAAGTATATGGCTCATTGGAGTTGATGAAAATTTTCACGAGGGTAATGAGCACATGCAAATAAAAATCTTACATGTAATTTCCCTCAATATCCTATCCTGGGAGGAACTTGGAATAGTAATTGTGTAATTGCAAACCAGTTGGGACACTAATTTTCAGAAAATCAGATGCGCTCATTTCTTCAATCCTATGAAACACACATATGTAATATACCTATATATCATTGAATGTAGAAATACACAGAAATACATAGGCACACTGCACTAATACGTTCAGAAAATTGTTTAACAAGTCTTTTTTATTATTATTATACTTTAAGTTCTAGGGTACATGTGCACAGCGTGCAAGTTTGTTACATACATATACATGTGCCATGTTGGTGTGCTGCATCCGTTAACTCGTCCTTTACATTAGGTATATCTCCTAATGCTATCCCTCCCCTCTCCTCCTACACCACGACATGCCCCAGTGTGTGATGTTCCCCACGCTGTGTCCAAGTGTTCTCATTGTTCAATTCCCACCTATGAGTGAGAACATGTGGTGTTTGGTTTTCCGTCCTTGTGATAGTTTGCTCAGAATGATAGTTTGCTCAGTTTCCAGCTTCATCCGTGTCCTTACAAAGGACATGAACTCATCCTTTTTTATGGCTGCATAATTCCACGGTGTATATGTGTCACATTTTCTTAATCTAGTCTATCATTGATGGACATTTGGGTTGGTTCCAAGTCTTTGCTATTGTGAATAGTGTCACAGTAAACACATGTGTGCATGTGTCTTTATAGCAGCATGATTTATAATCCTTTGGGTATATGCCCAGTAAAGGGATGGCTGGGTCAAATGGTATTTCTAATTCTAGATCCTTGAGGAATCACCACACTGTCTTCCACAATGGATGAACTAGTTTACAGTCCCACCAACAGTTTAACAAGTCTTAAAGGAGACCACCTATTCATATCCTTAGAAAAGGGCCTAGAATACAGTAGTTACTTAAGAAGGAGTAGTAACAATTGTAATAGTGACAGCAACAGTACTACTAGTAGTATACTATTACCAGGGTGGACTTCAAGGACCTTGTAAATATACTGAAAATATATGCAAAGTCTGAATTGTATGTGGGTATATATTCTTTGAAAAGTGCAAGATGATTTAAAATAAATTACACAAAATTAGAAACTAGAACCGTTTCTCTAATTATGAAGCTTTGGTAGCTATCATTCATTACAATCAATCACCAAGAAAATTGATCAAATTGATTAATTTATTGAGCTGGGAAGAATTAACTGGAGAGATCATAGTTTTTTTCAGAATCATAGTGATATATTTTAAATTCTATTTTTTCTTTTTTTTTTTTGTGACAAAGTCTCGCTCTGTCTCCCAGGCTGCCAGGCTGGAGGGCAGTGGTGCGATCTCAGCTGACTGCAACCTCCACCTCCCGGGTTCAAGAGATTCTCCTGCCTCAGCCTCCCAAGTAGCTGGGACTATGGGGACACAGATGCCTGCCACCATGCCCAGCTAATTTTTGCATTTTTAGTAGAAATGAAGTTTCACCACGTGGGCCAGGCTGGTCTTGAACTCCTGACCTCAAGTGATCCTCCCACCTTGACCTCCCAAAATTACAGGCATGAACCACTGCACCCAACCTACATTCAAATTCTATACAAGTTTGTTATAATTGAGTCAGGCATAACCAAAATGTTACAAACATCTTATTAGTCTTTTCTCAGTGATTTACAAGTGCTATGTGAAAATATATTGAAAAACGCAAGTTTTTTGATATTGCCACAACAGTAACAACGAAGTTGAAAATGTGAAGAAAAATTGCTAATTTAAAAGTAATCCTTAGCTTTGTTTCTGTCAAGTATTTTTTAGGTTGAAGCAATTATTCTAAATTTATGTGAATACTCAAATATTTAACCCAATGATAAAAATAATATTTTCCTCCAGCCTAAATACTCTTAGAATTTCTGGCAAAACTATCATTTCTGAAAAGTTCTTAAAAGCTTTAGCCTCATAAATTCATAACTCAACTTGAATCTCACTGCATATTTTAAATAAAATGCATTTAATTTCACCAAAAAACATGCTTCTAGAATTGGTTTTAATAACCTGAACTATCTTTTACAAACTTTATTTCTGCCAAGAATAACTCAGCTTTATTCTTTCTTTTTTTGCTTCTTGTTTCCTTGTTGTTGTTTTATACAGACAAGGTCTCGTTATATGGCCCAGGCTGGTCCTGAAGTCTTGGGTCAATTGGTCCTCATGCTCAGCCTCCCAAAGTTCTTGGATTGCAGGTATGAGCCACTGCACCCAGCCAAAAATTCCAATTTGGTTCACACAACGGAATCAGAAATTTTCTTTGAGCTGACACCATCTACAGTAGCAATTTCCAAATTCCACATGAGGACCTCTTCATGAAAATGGTATTTGGTTCAATTTGTAATTATCTTAGGCTAGTTTGATTGTTTGCTCACATCTCTTTTTTTTTTTTGGCTATGCTATAGGCTCATTTATTGTAAACACTCTCTTTTTAGAATTTTTTTTAGTATAGTGTCTGACAAATTAGACACTATATGTGTGTGTGTGTGTATATATATATATTATAATTATATGTGTGTATGTTTTGAAAAATAGCCTGCCAAGAAGATATATTGCCACAACAAAAAGAAAGAGAGGAGATAAACGTGTATGAGTGGAAATTAGGAGTAAAAAGAAAAGTGAGGACTGAAATAAATATTAATATTAAAGTTCATCTGGTCCTTCGTTAACTGAAGGATGACAGCTGAAGAGTGGAGATTTCCAGAAATTTGTGCAAATTATCATTTTATTTAATTTTTTTTTAAATGATAGGTAGAGAATATACAAAAAACGTTGAGTTTGAATACTGTATGATGCAATTTGAGAGGAGAAATCCCAAATAATATAAACCAAGAGGATGCGAGACCGTTTTCCATAAGGAGTGGTAAAAAAAAAAGGTCCAGTCTTTGTAGTTGCATCTCCATGCACCCCTGCGTTCATACAAAAACAGTGCCAACAGCCCCCACGGAATGGTGAGCCCTGATTTGCTGTGGTCAATAAGGCTGTCACAAAGAATGTCCTTTATCTTGGCCCAATAAAATAATGTGGCAAAAATCCGATAACAGAACTGTGACTCTTGTGAGAGGATACTGAATTCAAATAAAAACAGAACATTTTACAACCCCCAAACACCTACCCCAGTCTACCGATTCACATGTCTGTAAGTAGTTTCTAGTCACTCATTATCAGAAGCCTGAAAACCGTGTCTTCCTGCACTCCCCGTCACACACACTCCCACAAAGGTGTCTACACTCAACCTCCTGTAACTCACTACATTTTCCCCTCTTCTGTGCATCCTCAACCTCTACCTTACTTCAGAGTCAAGTGCTTCGTTTTGGTGCAAAATTTCACTTGCACACCCTTAAAAAAATATTTTTTTAAAAAATTAATCTCTTACATCCTTCATTAAAAATCTAAAATTTTCCTCATAAGTTTAAGTCACTGGCATTACCAGTATATGACATGCAAATTAGGTAAAAGTGCCCTTAAATAAAATACCACTTTTACTCAAGTCCAAGAGAGTAATACCACAGCAAGTTGATAATTCTGAATATTCATTTAAAAGAAAGTCAACAAATTTATTTTATTCCTTGTTCTCTTTCAACTATTACTTCTAGGCCACAATTTCTACAAAAAAAAACATATCTTAAGATATTTTATTTTGAAAGTTCTTTATGAATAATCTATAACACTTACTGTAGCAAACTTTGATTTTTAAATTTCCTGTGACCACACGGTTTCACAGGTGAAAATATTCTCTTTTAGTTGTGAATTTCCTATTAATATACCATTGATTGAAGAAACAATATGATAAAATTGTTGATAATCTATGTTCAACACAAAAGTAATGTTTTATTGGTAAGACACCAATTGATGCTATAGATAAGGCATTTTTGTTGTTCATGCATTACTGATTGTTAGAAAGAGACAAGCTTTAGTATCAATTGTATTGCTATTGTGGACTTCAGACCTCAAGAAAAGTCATGTGTTAAAATAAATTTGGCTCACTGAGAATGATGGTTAACACAGGAACAGAAAACCAAACACCACATGTTCTCATTTATAAGTGGGAGTTGAACAATGAGAACACATGGACACAGGGAGGGGAACATCACACAACAGGGCCTGTTGGGGGGTAGGGGACAAGGGGAGGGAGAACATTAGGACAAATACTTAATCCACGTGGGGATTTAAAACCTAGATGATGGGTTGATAGGTGCAGCAAACCACCATGGCACATGTATACCTACGTAACAAACCTGCAGGTTCTGCACATGTATCCCAGAACTTAAAGTAAAATAAAAATAAATAAATAAATACATTTGGCTTAGAGTTGCCTTTGTACTTTGAATTCCTACACAGTGAACTGCAGCCTCACTCAGTACATAACAAACTGCAACTCTACTCAAGAGGATGTCCTTGTAACAAGTCGCTGAGTCTCAGCTAATCACAGCAGCCTTGCTTCAGCCCATCACAGGCCCCAGACTAGTCAGACCATGCCCCAGTCGGGCAGGTGCCCAGCAGTGGCTCCTCCAGCTGCCTCCCCATGTCCCTTCCTTTTTCTATCAGTGCCGCTGCCCACATTGCTGAGTGGATCTCTCCAGACCTTTCCTGGATTTGAAGGCTGTCTGATTGATACATCTATTTACTCAAATAAA